AAGAAAGAAAGAAAGAAAGAAAGAAAGAAAGAAAGAAAGAAAGAAAGACAGACAGACAGACAGACAGACAGACTTAGGATACATTTGAACAATAGCATCCCAGGAAGGTTTAGAAAATTAATCTGGGGCATTTAGACAGGGTAGCATCTACCTGGTTTTCTGGTGAGGTAAACATAGAGTGATTTAAAAAAGAAAAAGAAACTCCAGGAATAAGTCAATAAAGGTGTGGCGTTATTTACCTGAAGATGGACCACCTGGGGCATGAGGTTGTCAAAGTAAGAATCTACAGCCTCGGTAAAACCCTTGTAGGTTGTCCTCAGTTGCATTTCAGGGTCCTGAAGCAACCAGCTAGGAAGGAAGACAATCAGGTAATCAATGGAGAAGATGAGATAATAAAAATAATAACAACAATAATAAAAAAAACCCTCAAGACCCCTAGCAGTTTTTTGCTCCCCCTCCCCCTTAAGCAGGCTTCAAAGAAATGGGCTGGGTCAGACTGGACATTCAGCTTGGTTTTAAATAGTTTTAAAGAAGTTCGTTAAAACATTCATACATACTCACACACACACATATCATTGGAGAAGTGGGTAGTGGGCACCTGTTCGAATGGAGAAAGAAAGAGAGAAAGAGAGAGAGAGGGAGGAGAGAGAAAGAAAAGAAGGGAGGGAGGAAGAAAGGAAGAGCAAGAGAGAGAAAAGAAAGAGAGGGAGGAAGAAAAAAGAAATAGAGGGAGGGAGGAGAGAGAGAAAAACAGAGGGAGGAAGAAAGGAAGGAGAGAAATAAAGGAAGAAAGGAGAAAGGAAGGAAAGAAAGAGAGAAAGGAAGAAGGGAGGGAGGAAAAAAGGAAGTTTCTTTTGCAGGAAGCTTTTCTCTGAGAAATGGCCAACTGAATTTTCTTAGTCTCTGTACATTTCATGACTTTTGAACCTAAAAAAGGGGAGATGTGTTTGCATAAGACTGCATTGGCCTTAAATACAAGTTCAAATGAGGAAAGTTTGCCCTAGAATGCAAAGCACGTTGCTTGTTTTTCCCGCCCTTTCTAAACTCGCCTTAAATTGCAGGTTTAAATATCTGAAAATGTCTAAAATGCGCAACGGCGTGCAACTGGGAGAAAACCAACTCAGGAAGCGAGCTCCCTGAAAGAGAGGACGGGGAAGGTTAAGAGAGAGGCAGAAACTCTCTTTGAGCCAAGGTTCTTTAGAGACACTCAATCTCTGGTGGCAGAGACAAATGGAAAAAAAATATTTTTAAAAAAATAAGCAGGACTGGTGAGTGTCGGTGGCCCCCCTTGGGATCCAGTAACTAGGAAGGATTTCTCAAAGATGACGTTGGACTCATCAAGAGTATTGCTCGAGGGCCTGACATCAACAGATTATTCCCCAGAGGGAAGAATAAAAACCAGTGTAGGAAAATAAAAAACGAACCCAGCTGAGGAAGTCAGTAACTAGAAAGGAAGATGGAGGTATTTGGAGAATCAGCCAAAAATGCAGGCCAAATCAGCCCGCCCAGGTTAAATTTGCAGTCTAACTTAAGCACAGGGCAAGAAGTCATCCGTAGGTAGACGATCAGAGATTAAAACTCTCTAATTACAGGTAGAGAGGTTGATGGGCTTCTGCGGATTGGGTCCTTTGTGTCAGGGATCCGGTGATTGCCCTAATTAAATCATGAGTCTCGAGCCAAGCTGCAAAAGAATGGAAGTTCCACCCTGAGCCATAAATATTCTGTTGGCCCCCCTCTGTTCTGCAAAGAAGGCCAGAAATCAAGATACTTAGGGTCGGACACGTTTCGTGCCTGGAATAGACCCACATGCCCTACTTACACCCTCCGCCATGATGGGTCCCCAAATCATTCTCTTGAAAGACGTGATCCGCTGCTTTTGTGTGAAACAGGCGTGAAGGGAGGAGGGAGCGAATGGAAGGAAGGCAGAAAATGCTTTTATGCTGAATAATTGAATGCAGAAAGAACAAGTGGTGCCTTTTATTCCGGGTGGCAAGAAAAACACTCTGGCATCGGGCGAGGTCTCAACCCCCATCATCGTCACCCTGCATAAGCAGGCCTATTGTTCCCGTTCTGCCCTCTTCCTTCTCCGTTGCTTTGATGACAAGGCTCCTAATTCCTGAGATAGCTTGTCCTTCTCCGTTCATCCGGCCATTCCCACCTCCACCCCACCCCACCCGCCGCCCCCGTTTCTGCTTTTAAGTCTGTGAACTGCAGGCTCCAAACAGCGCCTGTGCAATGGCTCCACAGGGTGTCAGAGAGAACTTCAACAGAAGGCCGGGCTGCGCTGATGCACTTTCTGCGACTGTCTAAACCGAGAAACGGGGAAGTTGCGTTCAACAATGTAAAAAAGTCTGCACTACTATTACTGTTAAGCTTCTCATCAATCCTGATCACCCATCTCCTCCCACTAGTGACTGTATGACTGTAACTTTGTCGCTTGTAGCCTAACGATTTATATTGACTGTTTCCTCGTATGATTTGATTGCTTATTCTACCCTATGACTATCACTAAGTATTGTACCTTATGATTCTTGACTCTTGACGAATGTAACTTTTCTTTTATGTATACTGAGAGCATTTGCACCAAGACAAATTCCTTGTGTGTCTAATCACACTTGGCCAATAAAGAATTCTATTCTATCCTATCTATCTGTCTATCCCATCTATTTGTCTATCCTATCCTATCCTATTCAATCTATCCATCTATCTGTCTGTCTGTCTGTCTATCTATCCCATTCCCTATCTATCTATCTATCTATCTATCTATCTATCTATCTATCTATCTATCTATCTATCTCCTATCTATCTATCTATCTATCTATCTCCTATCTATCTATCTATCTATCTATCTATCTCCTATCTATCTATCTATCTATCCATCTATTCATCTATCTATCCCATATCTATCTATCTATCTATCTATCTATCTATCTATCTATCTATCTATCATCTATCTATCTATCTATCTATCTATCTATCTATCTATCTATCTATCCCATATCTATCTATCCCATATCTATCTATCTATCTATCTATCTATCTATC